CTTTAAACGTGTGTTTAAATGTGACATTTTTCAAATTAAGTCATGCAACCTTTCTTGGTGCAGAACTGAAAGATCAACAGACTTCAGGGTCTGAAGTACTGACAGACCCTTCCCATTATAGTTTGTGCTGAGGAGCATCATCTTGTCACTGCCATCTACACCTTGAATCTCCCCTGTGCCTCTTATTACTTTTTATGCTATTCCCCAAAGTTTGAAGCCCATATTATGAATTTTTCAAGAATTACAGTCATTTAATTTTTATATGTATTTAGAGATAAAACATAACATAGCAGACATCATATCAAAAGTCTTTATGTGATTTTGTCATGCTTCAAACTAAATAAAGATTTTACTTTCCTTTCTAACATCGGAGCCTTTTCATAGTCACATACAATAACAGTGTATGAACATATTTCAATGCAGAGTTCTTGCAGAAATTAGGGCTGTGGATGTGATCTCTTCTTGTACTCTGGGATGTGATGCATAATCCATCCGGCCGGGGCCAGGAGAGTCACAGCAAACACACATATGACAAAGACAGATTGCTGTAAAAAGAAAAAAAGGGCAATGAGAACATAAAGATAAAAGCTTTGTTACCAAACATTGTGCTCTCAGGAACAGAATTAAACAATAATATTTAGTACACACATTAAGCCACTGTAATATTGCTCTCAAGCATCTTCTCTTATCAGATACAGGTTGAATGAAGGGTAACAAATATTTGTTTCCACAACAGAGACTCACAACTGATCTCAGTGACTTGTTTGGTGATATAAGCAGCAGGCTCCATTTATATATTTCGATGATATCCCTTTAAACCCTTTGCACTCCAGTATGACTAACCCAGCATAGTTCAGGCACAGTTCTGACTTTGTTGTAGACCTACTGTTTGTTACATGTATGTCAGTTTAGTCTTTAAAATGAATAGCAATTTAAATCATTGTTACAAAGCAAATGCGAAATCTTTGCTGGAGTCACAGTTTTTGCAAAATGTCGCCATACACTAGTCAAACCACTTGAGATGTCTGTCCATTCAACTGCTACTATACAGCTGCTAACAAAGATATTCAGTCCTACCACAGGTCCGATCTTTTCCTTTGGTGGCTTGCTGGAGATGCTTGGCCTGTGAATTTTCCGAATGGCTTTTATCAACACGAGCCTGATCGGTGTGGGCCTCCTCAAAACAGAGAACATTCTTCTTCTCACACAGTCACTCTTCTACTGTAAAGAAACGTTTCTCTGGAATTTCTCTTCTCATATCCTGTGAGATAGCAGATAGTCACAATACTTTTATCTAATTCCCATCACTGTTCTTGGGAGGAGTTACTTCCATGGACCAAAGACATTTATGTAAACATACAGACCAAGTTCTCATCAGAGCAATAAATGTGGTCCCCAAAGTTTAAAGTTAACTGAACATCTCCCACCAAAAAAAAAAAAGAAAAATGTGTGATTCCCTATTATAATAAACTAAACAAGTCCTTAGTTTAGCTAACAGCAATCAACTGAGTCAACATTTCTACAAAACCTTCTCTCTAAACCTGCAAGTATCACAGACCCAGACAGATGACAGTATTGTGACAGTTCATGAAAGTATTATAAATCACACAATATTAACTAAAGGAAGATCTTTCAGTAATGCTCATATAATAAATAGCAAGTGCAAAATCTGCCAAGGTTCTAAACATGCAGCAAATGTGATGGTGAATTCTTACACTAAACAAAGTTCTTACTAGTATCTTGCATTTTTTTTCTATTTAAAACATTAGGTTTGTGCATAAACCATTGCACATTAACAACAGCTGAATTGTTCTGGGGAAATTGTGTGATGTATTTGAGTTTAAAAAGTAAAGTTTTGATTAGTAAGCATTCACACTGTTAGGTTATTTCTTAGTTAGATAGATATTCAGAGATTTGATGTCTAGAAATGTTTAGTGGAGACAGGATGTCTAGCTCAGGCTGTTAAATGCTCAGTTTAATTTCATGTGCTTGCAGACTGCATCTAGGCCAAGGCTGCAGGCAAGAAGAGTTGTTAGTATTAACTGTAATGCTAATCTTAATATTTGTCTTAATGTGAAATGTCATGTCAAATTGTTCTAGATACACACCACAAAACAACAGACACACACCTTGACTTTTCCTCATGTTTTGGCTATCGTTATGGTCAGCTGCAAGCTGGCATATCAGGTGACGTCACGGTTTGATGTTCCTGCGTAGTATGGGGGTAGCCCAGAATGATTAAAATTATATAGGTTTCATGGTCCAGGGTCTTTCATCTTTCCAAGCTGCCTGCGCGCAGGTTTGGTGGTGGGAGAGATCTGGACGTGTGATGTTAATTTTACCTGTGATCCTCTGAATAAACCAGTACGGTTATTTTTTATAAAATCTAAAGTGGTCTACTTCGTCTTTTTGTGAGTTCCTGGTTTAAAAGAGCCGGAAGGAGCTTTGTACAAAAACAGAGCTTATAACACCAATAAAATAAAATTTCTTTATTATCCTATTATCTACATAGACAAAATTAAATGCTACAGGTACATGTACTTACTTTTTTGTTGTAAGAATAGGCTGATAAGCATAAACAACAGTTATGGCTTGTCTTTAGAGTCATATCCAGTGGTTGCATTCTTACAGTTACTTTTACTCCTTTTTTGCGTTTTTCTAAGGAGTTTCAGTGGCTTTTGAATATGAATTTAGGGATTCCATTTATGTAGAGAAACTGCGAAAAAGACCCATAGATCGTGATTTTTAATTGTATTACTGTATGTAGCAGAGGTTTTGGCCTACATTAGATGTATTCTGTCGCCCTCTACAGGAAGCCAAAAGAACGTCAGCTGAGGAACAACCAAAGATTTATCTCTAAAGCCTTTACTAATAGTCACTGTTAAAATAATGACCTTTGTAACAATTTATTGTGTAACTCCATAAAGAATCTCTCATACCTACTACATTACAAAAATATACAATATCAACTACAACTACATATGTAGGCCTACATGTTTGTTTGTTTGTTTTAGGTTAAACATAGATTTCCAAATCATCTATGAAAGAGGTGAAAGGTAATTATTAATACTACTACTACTA